GCTTCCGTAAAGATTTGCAGCCTCAGAAACCCTATGCAGGGTCACTATGAATCAGAACTGACCACAGTACTTAACAACAGCAACATGTAGCACCTCAGGTTAATGCACTGGACTGCAACATCAGTTTGAATGACACGGCTGGCAGTTCAAGCTCATCAGCTGCTCTTCAGCAACCCTAATACAGGATTGCTATGAGTTAGAACCAACTTAACAGCACATAACAATAACAATATAACCAACTCACAGCTAACATCAAACTAAATGATAAAAGGATTGCTTTCACACTAAGATCAGAAATAATGTAAGAATGTCTGCTCTCGCCACTTCTATTTAACATTGTACTAGAGATTCTAACTACTGTAATAAAATGAAATTAAAGGCATCCAGATTGGAAAAAAAGAACAGAACTGTCCTTACTCATAGACATGATAGTCTATATAGAAAATGCAATTAAATTTGTTTTTAAAAAAGCCTACTAAACCATAGAAAAATTGATGCATTTGAGTTACAGTTTTGGAAAAGATTACTGTAAGTACCACGGACTGTTAGAAGAACAAATAAATCTGTGTTTGAAGAAGCACAGCCAAACTCTCCTTAGAAGCCAGGATAGTGAAACTTCGGCTCTCATACTTCAGACATGTTTTCAGGAGGGGCCGGTCCCTGGAGAAGGACATCATACTTGGTAAAGTTGAAGGTCAGCATAAAAAAGGACGGCCCCCAACGAGATGAACTAGCACATGGCAGCAGGAATGGACTCAAGTGCAACAACTGTGAGAATGGTGCAGGACATGGCAGTGTTTCGTTGTGTGTAGGGTCATTAGGAGTTGGGACCAACTTGATGACACCTAACAACAACAACAATGTAAATACAGACTGAATAAGTATGGTGAAAGGATACAACTCTATCACACACCTTTCCTGATTTTAAACAATTCAGTATCCTCTTGTTTGGTTTGAACAACTGCCTCTTGGTCTATGTAGATTACTCATGAGTACAATGAATTATTCTGCAATTTCCACTCTTTGCAATGCCATTCACAATTTGTTATGATCTGTACAGTTTAATGTCTTTGTACAGTCAATAAAGCTCAAGTAAACATCATAAAAACCTACTAAAACTAGTTATTAATAAAGCAGATTAACAAAGCTGTAAAATATCAATGCTAGAGCACAATGGTACTGTAGGATACACAATGGACTGCAAACAAGGTTAGTGTTTTGAGCCCTCCAACCACATCCCCAGGGAAAGATGAATGTTTCTGCTCCTGAAAAGATCTGCAGCATCAGAAACCCTATACAGGATAGTATGAGTTGGAAACAACCAGTGGCACTTAAAAACAACATATACATTAGCAGAAAACAATTGGAAATGGTTAACATAATAATACCTTTTAAAATGGTGTTGGTGGTAGTGTGCCACCAAGTCAGTGCTGACTTACAGAGACCCTGTATAGGGTTTCTGAGGCTATGAATCTTTATGGGAGCAGAAAGCCTTTCCATTCTTCCACAGAGTGACCCATTAGATTCAAACTGCTGACCTTGCAGTTAGCAGCCCAGCTTGTAGCTCACTACACTACCAGGACTCCAATTAGATGTAAATTTGACAAAAGATGTTTACAAACTATATAATGAAAACTACAAAGCACTGCTGAGAAAAATTTTAAAGACTAATAAATGAACCACCATCCATGCATCAGTTTGTCATACTGTAGTGGCAAACATGTTGCTATGAAGTTGGAACCTACACCACCACAGTATTGTAAATATCACCAGGATCATCCATTAAAAAGCAGGTTTCAGTAGAGCTTCCAGACTAACATGGACTAGGAAGAAAAACTGGAGATCTAATACTAAAAATCAGTCAATGAAGACTCTACCCATCACAACAACAGAATACTACCTGATAAGAATAATGGAAGACAAACATACACAAAATACTGTGATTGCAACAATGCACCCAAGCATACCATCATGAAAATGGCACAAAATTCAGCAACACTTTGTTCTGTTGTACATGGGATTGCCATACAGTCACAACCAACTTGACAGCAACAAAATAAATGGAGAGATATACTATAGTCATGTAATTGGACATTATCCGAAGAGACTAACTGGGAATATGGAGTACAAGAAGAATTCATAGAAATTAATACTGATTTACATACATAAAAGCAGTGTTAATAGAAATTAAGTTATATTTCAAATTTTATAAAGTATAACTCCAAGAGCTCTGAAAACTGAAACAGAACTGCTTGTGGGAGATATTATGAATTGAGAGACAACCTAGAAGAGGAAGGTGAGACAGTAAGACAAAATGTTTGCCACTATAAACAAGGCAGGATTAACATAAGGTGGGCAGCCAGGAAGGTTTACAAAGGAACCTAGTAGGAGACTGTAAAACAAAATAAGGTCCTGCTGTGACAATCCTTATGATACTGAGGATACAAGGTTTTCAAAATGGATGTGACCAAAACTTGTAAGCATTCAAGATGGATATGAGGTAGCAATACTGAGTGGGCTTCAAAAACTTCAAGGAAAAATAGAATTAAAAGATGATGGAATTTTTCCATGAACTTGTTTTGAAGTTCCTATTTTAAGAGTAAGAATAAATTTGCTTTGTAAACAATCACAAACCTAGAAATTACTACCACTTCAAAAAGAGAAACCAATACCAAAATTCTATCAATGAAATGAATTTTAGGTTCAAGAACAAATTCTCTGTATGATTAATCAAGTACATTTTTAAGAGTTCCTCAGACAAGTTACTAGTTTACTTGTGCTAATAACATTACTCAGTTATCATTGTCACAAAATTAATTTGATCGCAGACACTATGTGTCATTCCTTATTACCAAATTTCCAAGTTGAAAAGATAAGCCAAATTAGTTTCGATAACACTTTACTCAAATTTATTTTTTACTCAAGTATTCTACTTCTACATATTTAAAATGAAAATGTTCACAAAGGAATCTGCATTTTTTAAAACATGACAACAATTTTTAAAATATATTTTTCATAAAATATCTTAAATCATACTAAGCACTTTTGAAATCATGTATCTTCATAGTTACACTGTTCTAGACAACAGTAATTAATCTGAACATCAAAAGCAATCATTGTAGGAATACTGGTCATTTTTATACAGCTTGGCAAATTATCAAGTAAGTACCTGCTGGTTATTAATTTTCAAACATATGGATGCCCTGTGGTAATACACATTAAATTGATTTTCTTTCACAAAATATGGTATAATGAAAAATGAATTATTAATTTTCTCTATAAGAAATCAGTTAGCTCATATTTTTGGCAGTGTACAACTTCCACAATCTTTCACACAGAAACTAAGCAGTAACCTTACCAGAATACATATATTTATGATCATGCAATCTAGACCATTATTCCATTTACAGCCCTATCCTTAGCACAGTTTTTATTGCTATATATGTTTCTAAACTTGTCTTTCTTTAAAGCTAGTTATATATATACACAAGTCCATATAACTCATGCATTCTCACAAAAAAATGTTCTTTCATTAAACAATCAGAAATGTTAATTTACAAATCATGAATAACTCAAATCAACCAAAGAAATATTAAAAGTAATTTTCAATCAATTTAACTTTTCTCAATTTCACAAAATATATGACTACCTTTTAGTGACATCATGATGTCAGGTTTAAAAGTATTTTTATAAGATTTGTATGTATCTATTTGCAGTCAGATTTCTTAACTTATTTATAAATTGTATTTTTTAAGTTTTCTAAAATCTTATGCTGCTTTTTTGGAAGGAAAAGCAGTTGAAAAATCTACTGTGATAAATTACTCATTGATTTTCTTTCCTAAGTGCCCTTGATTCCCTGATACCTATGACTGCCTAGAATCAAAGTCATCACAATGATATGTATGTAATTCACAGGCATGAAATTTTTCTTAAGTGCCTTCCAGTCAGTTCCAACTCATAGCTACCCTGTATAGTGTTTCTGTGACTTTAAATCTTTGCGGAAGCAGAAAGCCTCATCCTTTCCCCATAGTCGTGAAACACCAAAATAGTATTAGAATTTACTCTCATATTCAATAATCTGACATGGAAATTCACACAAAATAGTGTGATCTGCTAAAGCAATGGACTTCCACGTCCCAGTTACACTCCAAAAGAAAGTTTCAGGGTAATGTGGTAAACTCCAAAATGGTTACCTTCCTCTAAAGAGCTACCATACTGGGGAGAAAAATAAGAATTAAAGAAATAAGACAGTAGTAGAGACAGAGTCCTGGTGTGGCGCTGTGCGTTAATACACTGGACTGAAAAGTCAGTTTGAACTGCAAGGTTGGTGGTTCCAGCTCACCAGTCACTCCTCAGTAACCCTACACAGGGTCACTATGGGTTGGAACCAACTCAGTGTCACTTCACAACAACAGAAACTAAAGTATGTTAACATGATAGAACATTATACTAAAGTATCTATAAGAAAATACTAATAAAGTATCTGTAAAAAAATAAAATACTAATATTCTATGACTTAGAAAAATCTACCAGCTTATATTTGGAAATGTAGTATTATACACCACCACAAAGGAATATTATTCCTGAAATGTGTTAAGTAATTGCATGTTTAAAAATATATGTGCAGGGTTTAACAAAAACATGAATATATTCTAAAAAATGTATTCTTCTATCTCTAATTTATATAAATCTAAAACCATTCTAAAGTTGAATATAAAAAGATATGCTATACTGTTGACTACAGCATACTACAAAGTTTTATTGCCATTTAAACAAAGAAGCCATAACAGTGAAATGAGCTCAAGAAATAGGTTCCACTAACACAAGGTGCCAGCTGTAAAGAGTTATGGCTAATTGAATATGGAACTCCTGCTTAATCAGATAACTGCTCTGCTATTTTCAAATGAAATGCCATTTCCATACTGTCTGAAAATGGCTCATTTTATTGGTAACCAGAGAAAACAATATAAACTGTAAATAACATTAAGTGCTCTATTTACCCATTCCAGGCACTGAAGTAGCAGGGGATCCAAAACGTCTTGGTAACACATTTGAAGGTACAGTTGGACTAACAGTTCTTTCGGGTGGTCCACCAGGGGCAGAAGTGTGGTCTTTTGGTGGTCCAGACGACACTGGAACTTGTGGAGGAGGTCCCTGGTTAGCAGTTGCTGGTGCTGGGGATAGGTTTCTTTGTGCTGCAGTTCGTTGACGAATCTCTGAAAAGAATAAGTATATATGAGATATCTATCATCCAATATACCACATTAGCCAATACCACAAATGACTTACATTTAGACTTACATTTCTTAGTGGCACCTCAGGCATTGTGAGCTCAAAATTACTTGTAATAAGAAATCTATTACACATAACACTGAATACTGCCTATAACAGAATATTCCATTTCTCAACCTACAATTCAATTGCACATATTCACCATAAGTCATAATCTAAGTCTATCTACTGATATCAAACTCTTTCAAATATAAATTGAATAAAACCACCAAATTATGTCATTTTTAACTAAACATTTTTAACTTATGATGAAGAAAAGAAAGTTCATAAGAAAAAGGGAAAATTCTCAATTGCTTATGTGTTTTTGATATAAAAAAACAATAACTTTCATAAATAAGTAAATAAGAATATTTCCAGTCCCTGGAAAAGGATGTCATGCTTGGTAAAGTGGAGGGTAGCAAAAAAGAGGGAGACCCCTAACGAGATGGATTGGCACAGTGGCAGCAGCAATGGGCTCAAGTATAGCAGCAATTGTGAGGATGGCGCAGGACCAAGTAGTGTTTCGTTCTGTTGTAAATAGGGTCACTATGGATCTGAACTGACTCGATGACACCTAACAACAATTATCCAAATTTATGCACCAGCCACTAAAGCTAGTGATGATGAGATTGAAGAATTCTACCAACTTCTTCAGTCTCAAATTGAGTAAACATGCACTGATAATTACTGATGATTGGGAGGTGAAAGTTGGAAGCAAAGGGAGAAGCATCAATAGTTGGAAAATATGCCCTTGGTGACAGAAACTGGAGATGACATGATAGAATTTTACAAGACCAATGACTTCTGCATTGCATATACCTTTTTCAACAACATAAAAGGCTACCACACACACGGGCCTCACAGGAATCAAACTGACTGTGTGGCATTGTTAGGATAAGCCCTGGATTACTAACCAAAAGGTTGGAGATTCACCCCACCAGTCACTCCTCAGAAAGCCTATACAGGTAGCTATGAGTTGAAATCAATTCAACAGCACACAACAAAAACATACACATGCACTTCACTAGATGGAATATACAGGAATCAAATTGACTACGTCTGTGGGAAGAAACAGTGGGAAAGCTCAACATCATTTGTCAAAACAAGGCCAGGGACTGAATGTGGAACAGACCAATTGCTCATATATGCAAGTTTAGGCTAAAGCTGAAGAAAATAAAACAAATCCACAGGAAACAAAGTATGACCTTAAACATTTGCCACCTGAATCCTGAGCCCCATCCAGAACCTTCTGAGATGGGATATTCCCACTAGAAAGGACAAGCAGACCAGCCTGGAACAGCTAGAGTGGCAGAGACACATCTTCAAAGAAAAATCAACAGGAAAAACCCAAAACAAAAGTGGCAGTATGATTGGCTACTACAAGTATAAGCAAATTGTTTGCCAGGAAGCCATCAAGGCAAGCAATCAAGTCCCTTCAGGACAAACTCCCTCAAAGACTGAAACTCAAAGGGAACACATGAGCAGGCACATAAGCTTGCTGGCAACCACACTGGTCTACTGGTGAGTGGAAGAGACCTGGGGAAGAGAGAGAAGAGGAAGAGATGGTTGGTCCAAAGTGTGGTGAGACCTGGGGACACCTGGGCCCATGGACAAGGACATAGCCACGGAGGGTTAGAGCTGAGAGTGAAGCATCCAGCTGATATGAAGTGAGGGGAGACACACAAGAACACCTAAACTTGCAGACAGTACCCATTTGACCTAGCCTCAATGGCTTGACAATCAGAACTCAACTAGAGAAACATTTTTTTTAAAAACCGAGGGTAAATTGCTACAATTTAATGAACTTGACCTATGCTCATGGAGGTAGTAGCTCAAAACATCAACAGAGAGGAAAGGAGTTTTCACATCAAGTATCAATGCTATCCCCTGTGCATACTAGGGTAGATAGGGACGGACAACTTAGACATTGGCTACCTAAAATGAGAGGGTGGCAAAGGCATGAAGTGACTGGCTTACAAGTTTTCAGGAGGGAATTTAGTTTAAGAGTGTGCGGGGCAAGATAGAGTCCCCATTGAATAGTTTTCATCTTGTCTAGATGGGTCTGGTGAAGAGAAATGAGGATAAGATTCTTGTGATTCAATAGCGAGTAATTGTTATCATGACTAATTGCGACTTACAATAATAAAGGTAGAAGTTTTGTAACAAAATCTAGGAAGTAGTTAATCTTACAGTCCAGATACAGAGGACCCTAGGACCATCAAGGGAGAAGAGCATGAACGGAATGCGGGACCCTATCTAGAGAAGCAGCGACACCAGATGGAGGCAGAGATGGGGATACGAAGACAGGGAGCAGCTGAGGACTGTAGATTTATGGAAAGAGAGGGACTGAGAGCTGGCAGCCAGGAGGCAGGCTTACAGAATGTGCTTTTTGGTAGTTTAAATTATTATATATGCCTAAGAGTTGCAGGGGGGGGGGGGAAACAAGAAAGAAGTTAAAATTAATAGAGAGAAATACTGTTAACTGATGGTACATGGAGGGGATTATAATCATTGTAATGAAACAAAGTGTATGATTTGTTGAATGTAAAACTAATAATCTGCCCTGTAAACTTTCACTCAATTCACAATAAAAGCTTGAAAGAAAAAGAAAAGACATACACACAAGAAAACCATATGCCACCTGAATTTAGAAACTTTCTCAAGAAAAGATTTGCTGCATTAGACACTAAGGACCAAAGACCAAAAGAGTTGAGGGATGACATTAAGAACATCATACAGGAAAAAAGCAAAAGGTCATTAAAAAGACAGGAAAGAAATAAAAGACCAAAGTGGATGTCATAAGAGACTCTGAAACTTGCTCTTGAACATAAAGAAGTTAAAGTGACTAGCAGAAATGAGGAAGTAAAACAGCTGAACAGAAAATTTCAAAGGGTAGCTCAAGAAAAGAAAGTACAGTATTATAATGAAAGTGTAAAATCCTGGAGTTAGAAAAACAAAACAGAAGAATAGGTTCAGCATTTCTCAAGTTGAAAGAACTGAAAAAGAAAATTCAAGCCTTAACTTGTAACCTTGAAGGATTCTATAGGCAGAGTCTTGGTGTGGCACTGTGGTTAATGTACTGGACTGCAAAGTCAGTTTGAACCCCAAGGTCAGCGGATCAAACTCACCAGCCACCCACCCCCCAGGAACCCTATACAGGGTCTCTATGGGTCAGAACCAACTCAACAGAAATTAACAACAACATAGGCAAAATGGGAGCCCTTGTGTGGCACTATACAACAAGTACTGGACTACAAGCTCAGTTTGAACTGCAAAGTTGGTGGTTGAAACCTACCAGCCACTCCTTGGAAATCCTATACAGGGTCGTTATGAGTCAGAACTGACTCAATAGAACTTACCAACAATATGAGCCAAGCACTGAATGACACAGGAAGCATCAAAAGATAGAAGGAATACAGTCACTGTACCAAAAAGAACTGGTCAATGTGCAACCATTTCAAGAGGTAGCATATGATCAAGAACCAATGATACTGAAGAAAAAAGTCCAAGCTTCATTGAAGGCATTCACAAAGAACAGGCTCCAGGAATTGGCAAAATAACTATTGAAATATTTCAACAAACTGATACAGCTCTGGAGGTGCCTATGACACGGTATCTTTAAGACAGCAACCTAGCCGACCGACTGGAAAAGATCAATATTTGTGCCCATTTCAAAGAAAGGTGATCCAATGGAATGTGGAATTCACTAAACAATATCATTAATATCACATCAAGTAAAATTTTGCTGAAGATAATTGAAATTCAAGCCAGATTCAGAAGAGGAGATGGAACGAGGGATATCATTGATGATGTCGGATGAATCTTGGCTAAAAGAAGAAACACCAGAAAAATGTTTACTGACTACGCAAAGACATTAAAATTGTCAAACACATCATTTTGCTTGGATCCACAGTCCACACTCATGGTTGTAGTCAAGAAATCAAACGACATATTATGTGAGTCTGTAGCAAAAGACTTATTAAAGAGCAAATGTATCACTTTGAGAACTAAGGTATACCTTACCCAAGTCATGGTATTTTTAAAACCCTCATGTGCATGTAAAAGGTGGAGAATGAATAGGGAAGACCATAGAAGAATCAATGTACTTGAATTACGGTGTTGGAGAATACTGCAAGTATCATGAACTGCCAGAAGAATAACTCTGTCTTGGAAGATGCACAGCCAGGATGCTCCTTAGAAACGAGGATGGTGAGGCTCTTAGCTCTCATACTTTGGACATGTTGTTAGGAGGGATCAGTTCCTGGAGAATGACACCATACTTGATAAAGTGGAGGGTCAGTGAAAAAGAGGAAGACTGCCCCTATGAGATGGATTGACACAGTGGAAGCAACAATGGGCTCACACATGACACCAACTGTCAGAACAGTGAGTGACCAGGCAGTATTTTGTACTGTGTGCATAGGGACACTATGAGTCAGAACCAACTGGAAGGCTCTTAAAAGCAACAATGACTTTTGAAGAGGTAAAGTTGTACAACAAAGACAATATGGATCTCAAAGCTATATATTCTATGTAGTATCTGGTTCTTTTCAAAATACGTTCCATGACCTCTACTCAATAACATGAATCCTGGTGTGGTGCTGTGGGATAATGCATTGGATTACAAGGTTGGTTTGAAATGCAAGGTAGGCAGTTCAAATTCACCAGCCACTCCTTGAAAACCCTGTACAGGGTCACTGAGTCTAAACTGACTTGAAGGCAATTAACAATAACAACTCAGTAACATAAAGTTATTGCTATTCTTAAGTGCCACTGAGTCGGTTCCAACTTATAGCAACCTCTATAGGGTTTCAACAAGTAGATGATGAGTCTGAACCACTGGCCTTGAGGTTAGCAGTCCAGTGTTTATCCTACAGTGCTACACCAGGACCCCATAAAATTAAATCCCATTCTTTCCCATCCCATCAATAGCTTACTTAAATTA